AAAAGCTGAAAAATATTAAATGAAAAAAATTTGGTATTTAAATTAATCTATCTAATATTACAATGCGTTGTCAAATCATGGTATGTGATATAGATCATAGCCGAAATTGCAATAAGCGCAAAAATAAAGACCAAATTTCTATAATAACAAGAAAAAAATAATTTAAGTAACAGTATAAAAGTGTCATATTTAAATATATGGAAAATACAACATAGAGTTATCGATCGGCTTGGTAATTGTGATAGTGTCGAATCAAACACCTCATTTGAAAAATATCGTCAAACAAACGAGTTACTATTAAAGAAAGAAAACCATTTCTTAATTTATAAATTTATTTAGTTCTATTTAAAATGGGCGGCCAAATTAAAGCTGGATTGTGATCATTCAGAAAAAGAAAAAATTTGCGAATAACACATGTTGTATCTTCAAATAAATTTCCTTTTTTAATATTTTTGAGGTACAAGCATACAGCTATAAATAAATTTAATACTTTTAAATAAAGGAAAGTTACGTATTTAAATTAAGAGTTAATTAAGAGAGACAGGACAAAAAAATCCTTTCTTACAGGAAAGTGGTATCTTTTTGGAGGGGACACAACAGGGCGCATTTAATTATATCAGGGCAGGATAAAAGGAGTAAAGGGCAATAGGGCGGATATTTTATATCAAAAGGGCATACAGGGCGGGCCGCCCCGTAAACCCCGCTTAGAATGAACCCTGCACAAATCTTGCTGATCATCGAGGTCATCACTCAAAAAATAGTTTTTCTCCCTTGATTGCTGTGGTGGGTGTTAGGAAGAATCATGCAATTTTTATGCTATATTTACTTTTTACCTAGGTGTCTTGTTTATGAAGTTTTATTATTTGATTACTTTACTCTCACTCAGATTATATACTAATTTAAAGTTTGAATTAGTTTCTTAATATTTTAATTTCATAATCGAAGCAGATATCGTGGGAGAAACTGTAATTTTTCTTATCTGTTTATTTACTGGGTACCTCGTTTGGTGGAAGCTTGGTACTTATTTGATTATTACCTGTTTATTTTTATCACTTACCTAACCTAATTATTTTTAACTTGATTAAATGAAATTAAATAGTAAAGAATTAAACAACATTAACATTATTTTTTACTGAATGTTGTTAGTTTTGATCTTTGTTTTACAATCTTTTTTTTTTTTTTTTTTTTTTTTTNTTTTTTTTTTTTTTTTTTTTTTTTTTTTTTTTTTTTTTTTTTTTTTTTTTTTTTACGTTACTGTAGGACAACATTACTGTATTACAAATATAACAAGATTATTGATTTTTTATCCTACGGATAATAAAGCTAAGTTTTGATAATTTTTCAATAATTAAATTTATATGCAAAAAGTGTTAATGATTTTTTATGAAGTAAGCCACCAAATATTCGATATTCGGCAGATTTTTTGACAGAATATTTTGATATTCAGCCAAATCACTGTTTGTTACATCTCTATTATCAAATAAGCATTATGTGTGTGCATATAAAAAAGACTATCTCTTATTAGCTTTGGTAAATATCAATAGATTTTGAACTTGATATGAGAATTTTGGTTTTAATATTGTGATATTATTTCAAACTTAATTGTTAATTTATTAAAATTTATTTTATTTTCATAGACTGCTGGAATGTCTATAGAAGAAATAGTTCAAGGCATTTGTAGTCAGGATGCTCATCAACAATTGATAGCTGCTCAGAATGCAAGAAAAATACTTTCCAGGGAGCGTTGTCCACCTATAGATGCTATGATTGCTACAGGAGTTGTTCCCATACTTGTACAATTTCTTTTACGTCATGATAAGTAAGTAACATTTTAAAAAGTTAATTTTAATAATATTTCAAACCATAAGTTTTCTGAGTTTGATATTTTTTTTATACTTTTTCCATTCTCTTTAGTATCCAGAATGTATATCGTTATAAACCTGTTTTATAAAAGTTTTTAATATTGAACCAGTGTCCATCCTTTAAAAACACTGCCTTTTTATTTTCATTTTTAATAAAAATTAACTGTTTAAATAATTACACCTAAAAATTATCTGTATATAGGTTTAATTCTAATTCCTATTGCAAATATTTACTTTGTTAGGGTTATTAAGTGGTTAAATTTTTTAAAGTGTCTCCTTTTTAAAGAGGGTATATTAATAAATTTTTTGAATGGTTTTAAAATTTTTTAAATAAAACCCTTTTTTTTTAAAAAAAAAAAAATGTGGCACCTTTAAATGTTTATTTTTTTATAATTTTCAGGGGGATATTTCCGTATCGTGATCTGTCACAGCAACTACAATCGCCAAAGTTTTTTATTTTTTCTTTAATGTAGATATTTTTGCCTGCAGGTTATTACAAGTTATATCTTTCAAATTGGTTCCTTTCTGGGATTTTTTTTTTTAGTTTCTTGCGGGTTTCTACCCGGAAGTTGCCAAGAATTTGCGTTTATACTGCCATAGACCATGATATGGAAATATCATTTTTAGTATAAATTATAGAGAAAAGCTTTCAAGTTCGTCAATTAATAATTTTTTAGTGTTTTATTTTTTTTATTAAAAATTATGCAGAAAGATTTTCTTTTAGCATGCTTTTAAATTATTTATAAACTCATATTTTTCTCTTATTTAGATAATGAATGAAAATCAATTTTTAATTAAAATTAAATCAACTTTTAGAAGTTTTTGTTATTGATTGCTGTTATTGCTTCATAGTGTTTAAATCCAATATTTTTATACAATATTTATCACAACAACCTACTTGGTACCACTAAACCCTTCAATTCAACAACCTAATCTCAAAACGAATCTCACTTTTGAGGAGTTCGATTTACGTGATTTTGTTATATATTTTTGTGTCAATTATTACTACGGATTTCATGATATTTATTATTTACAAAATGCGAAGAAGTAAATATGTTTGTTTTCCCCCCAACAACATTTGAGAATATCTACCATGTTAGAATAAAAAATTATTACATTTTCAATTAAGATTTTTTTTGTTTGTAATTAGGCATATTTGTTGATTTAGACTAGTAACATAACTGTTTGTTAGTATTAAAAGTATCTTGCTGAAAGATATGAGTGCTAGAGAGTTTAGTCGCAGATAGCTCAAAAAATTTCTCCCACAGGACATGTATTTACATTTCTTCAAAACATGTTTATGTAATGGTAAAGTTCCAGTTATCAAATATTTCTTAGTTTAGTTTTAGCTATTAAGAAGTTATATTTACAGGACACAGGGGTCTTACTAAACATATATTTTTGCATAAAAATTTTTTGAAATATAAGAAAATCAGTTGCTTTATGAACGAATAATAGTTATCTATGCAGGCTACCAAAGTTATGGTTTTATTAATAGTCTTAAGTGCTAAAAATTGCTAACAAACTAATTTGTCTATTGAATCAAATGTCAATCAGTAGATTCGAATGTATTTTTACTATTAAATTAACTATTAAGATCTAATTTGTTTTTCTGGATTGATAATTGAAAAGCCACTTTGAAATCTGCAATTCACTTTGTATTAGAAAAAAAATTAATTCTTTTTTTAATTATTAACTCTTTAATTCTATTAATTTTTTTTATGTACTTACCTGTTCAAAAAGTAAGTAATAATTGACTTTCATGCATAAAGATAATTGATTTACGTGAACATGTACTTCTGTCTGTTTGGGCAACGTAACTGCTTCTGGCTCATATGCCTTTGAACTAAACCTAGCATTTGGCATATCAACCAACATTTTAGTGCAATATTGGTTTTTGACAGCTGTTTGTAGCTCTAAACCATATCATTGTTAAAAAGTATAAGTTAATACATCAGATTGTTATTTTAAGAATTTGCCTTTAGTCTGATTTAATTATTTTAGTGTCCCCCTACAATTTGAAGCTTGTTGGGCGCTAACGAATATAGCATCTGGCAATTCTGCCCAAACAAGAACTGTTGTTGAGGCAGGAGCAGTCCCTATTTTTACAAGTTTGTTATCTTCTCCACATGCTAATGTTGCAGAGCAAGCTGTATGGGCCTTGGGAAACATTGCAGGTAAGTTACTATTGTCAACTTTGAAGGTCAATTGTAATTACTATTTCGGGACTAAGTTGTGCCAAATTAATATTGTGCATGATCATGATTACATAGTTTTATCAGATTTATTGAATGTAAAGAAATTAAATTCTGTGTTGAAACCTTTGTTTCCAAAATAGGAACTAATTCTCCAAAAATATCATGAAAGAATTAAAAGAATTTAAGCTTTATTTTTCTGTTTGTTGCTGATTGCGTATCTTTAACATGTAGTGCTGAGATGAAAGTGAATACTTTATAAAAAAATTTGAAACCATAACCAAAAAAAGTATGATATAGTTCTAATTATTTTTTAATTGAGTTAATAATAAGTTGCTGGTTTTTTAGTAAATTAAATGTTAGATAACTAGAAATTACATTTAAAAAATATATATATTTTTTTTATTAGAAATGTTATGGAATTGGACCATAAAGTACTTTTATTATAAATTTTCAAAGCATATTGTACTGTTACAGAAAAGTTCCATATAATGGTTATTTTGAAAGCTTTGTGTGGCAAAATATATTGATTACAAATGAAAATTATTTATATATATGTATAATATAAGCATCATGCTTATGTGAACATTAGTTTCAGTAACTATGTAAATTAGACATAGTGAGGTGTAAGCTATCCTACAATTAATTCTAGACTGTTTCCGTGGAAAGTGTTAAGAATCATATTCTGAGATATTAGGGATATCTTGCAGATTATATGTAATTGTTGCATCAGATCTGGTGAAATGTGCATGTGCCCATGAAAAAAATATCAAACTTGCATAAAGGAAATTAGATTTTAAAATCTCTTTAACGAGACATCAACCGTATCAGTGCCCTCTTTTTTTTCCCCTTCCTAAGTTTTCATAAGTAACTTTTTAAAGCATAGAGAGAAAGCAACCTTAGAGGGAAAAAATGCCATAATAGCTTAAGCTAGAATTAAGAAACTACTGAGGTTAAAACAAAAGTATAAAATAGGTAATCTTAAAAATAATTCTGATATTATAAACTTATGAAAGATTGTTCACTCAAAAAAGAAAATTTCTAACAAGTAGTAATTTTGTTGGAGATTCCGATTTGTACAAAAGATTAATTTTATTAATGATAGGTATTTGCGCCTCTTACTCTGATTTGGCTACATTTAGATAAAATAAATTTTTAATTTTATATTACTGCATAGAAATTTTAAATCATGCTTTTGGGTGATTACTTTTTAACGCAATATATATCATTGTAAATCTGTGTTTGGATTTTTTTTAAATTAAAGTTGATGCGGAATTCATGCCTGCGAAGTCTCCTTTTTTTTAATGAAGACTCCTGTATTTTATGTCTGTCTCCTGTTTACCTGTATATTCTCAAATTTCTCCGTATTTGTTGAAGAAATTAGAAAATAAAAATTTGGCTATGAAAAATCCGCTAATGACAAAAATACTTATCTTATTCTTCAACAGATCACTATTACCAGTTGTGCAGTATGTTGAGTGTTTATAGTTTAAGTAATTATAAATAATGATTTTTAAAAAAAATGTTCATTACATTAAGATTTATACATACTTTTTACTTCACTAAGCGTCAAGTGCTTATATTTCCAATTTTGAATTTCTCTTTTTGACTTAACGTGATTATGCACCATACCCCATTATGCGTGATGTATCCCTAAAAGTGTTAGTAAAATCTCTTTATCTTATTTCTCCAATGTTGGCAGGTATGGTAATTGATTTTCCCATGTTTTTTTTAAATTCTAATGTTATTCTGACATGCAAAATGAGAATCACTCGTTTGAGTGATCACTTTTTGATGTACTCCATTTGTGTTGATACCCTCATAAATCAATGCCAAGTTTTGGTCATTTCATTCTCTATTCATTATTTTATATATTTTACATTAATAATTTTTAAATTACTTGAAAATAATAGAATGATGAAACTAAGTTTTGGTCCTAATATTTCTGTTTTGTTTATGTTCAAAACATCCCATTTTCTATGAATATTAATGCAGTTCTTAAAATCTTTTTGAATAATGGCAAGATTCAAATTTTTGTTCTAATAATTTATTTTTATTAATAGTTTATCCAGAATTTTACTTCTGAACACAAAGGCTGAGAAGCACATTTTACTATTTTCATTTAGAGATTATTGAAACCCCAACTTTAAAACTTTCGATAATAAAAGTAATGAACTCTTTTGCAAGAGTTCATTATTTCTATTTATGCCTTTATTGTAACAAGCATAATGTGTCTTTAATATGATAATGAAAAAAAAGTTTCTGTAACTTATATTTTAATTTGTTCATTACATACATTTAACCAATTTTAAAAGTAATCTGAAAATGGATTTGGTGATAGTATTGTATTTAATATTAATTTGCTCATATTAATTTATTTTTATAAATATTTTTAAAGGAAAGCTCTGATATCTAAGCATTTTAAAATTATGTAATTAAGTTTGTTTAAAGAAATGTGGATTCCCATTATAGTATTTAATCATAAAAGTGGAAAATTTTTGAGAATTTTTTAAATTTTATTCCTATTCGAAACTACAACGATTTATACAAATTTAAAATAACTTAACTTTTAAAAGAGACAAGTTTTTAAATTTTTTTAAAAATTAAATCATTAGTTGGTTTAAGCTATTTGAACGACATTGGCTTGACCTTTTGCTTTTACAATGTTTTGCTTATTTTAAGGAAAATTGTATTATAATTTATTTAATAAAATGGCAAATGCATTCAATGTTAGCCCTTTTGTTTTTCTCCTCTCAAAAATAAGGTAAATTCAGCCGTTGAAAAAAAAAAACAAACTACAGTATTTTCTTTTCTATAATTAAAAAGATGTTTGAGTTTATTTTTTTTTTTTAGATTTGAAATAAGTCTTCGTTAGAATGTTTGTTGATTTAATTAATCTTAATATTTTAAGGTGATGGTCCTGAATTAAGAGACTTGGTTATTAGAAATAACATTATACCTCCACTCCAAGCACTACTGACACCAGACATTTCAGTAAGCATACTTTTGATTGAAATAGGAGCGTTTTTATGTAATATTGACATTCATGTATTTAAAAAATTCTAATTTTCTTATTATTTTAGCCACTGTTTCGACGCAATATTACATGGACTTTGTCTAATCTTTGCCGTAATAAAAATCCGCCTCCTCCATTCGACGCTATCAAAATGGTCCTGCCTACTTTTGCTGAACTGATAAATCACAGTGGTAAGATTTTAATTCTAAATGATATCTTAATTATAAATAAAATTTTAATTGCAATGAATTCTGTCTTATGCTTTACTCATTTGTTTTCTAACTGCTTGCTTAGGTGTTATATTTTAAATTACCAGTATGTTTCTGATTTAGAATTTATATCTATCTTTTTTCGTTAAAATTTTGCCAATATTAAAGCAAATTGCACTATTAACTGTAGCAAGTAATATTTTATTAAATATTAGATTGCTATCTCTGTAGGTTCTTAAAATTCTGAAGCAGTTAATAAAACATTAGTAATTATTCGCAAAAAGTGTTTATTTTTTATTCCTGATTCTTAATTTTTCTCAAGTTATCCCGGTTTTTCATTTTGATACTTTTCTTAGTGTTAAGCAACAAAAATCCTGTTTTATGGTTTTCAATAAAGTGACTAAAAAGGTTGTTTACAATAAAATACAGTGATTTGTATTTACGTGAATTAAGACTTCAATATCTCAATTTGTATTTCCGTATTTTTAACATCAAATGTCGCAATTTGTATTCTCTTGATTTTAAAATCCAATATCTTGACTTTCGTATGAGAAGTTTACTACAAAGGTGATTCTTCATCAGTAATTTTATTAAAAATGTTAATTAAAATAATTTTAAGTATGAAACGTGTGGTTTATAAATTGATATTTTGATATGGACTTGGCACATAGAATTTTCATTTTGTGTCACCTCTATTAGGCTTATTATGCTTTGTGTTCCTATTTTTGTTTTTAACAAGTTGGCAGCTATGTATTATCAAATCTTTTAATGTTTGTTGACGAACAGTAGTGATATTTTATCTCTCGTTTAACTTTATTATATTTATTTAGATCAAGAAGTGGTCACAGACTCTCTCTGGGCTATCTCATACCTGACTGATGGCTGCAACGAGAAGATTCAGGAAGTAATCAACGTTGGTGTCGTTCCACGCCTTTGTGAACTTCTAGAGATGAGGGAAGTTTCTATTATCACACCAGCACTCAGAGCAGTTGGAAATATTGTGACTGGAGATGATGAGCAAACTCAAACAGTGATCAGTGCTGGTGCTCTTCAGACTTTAAGGTTTTTGCTTAGGCATCCCAAAAGTAATATTGTGAAGGTGGGTGACAATCTCTTTAATTGTACTTAACTATATTTATGCCTACCAAGTCTTCTGTTTTTTAACAAAGACTATCGTATTTTATGGCTATCTCCCATTTACCCGTATTTTTTGAAAAAAAATTTAAGGAAACTTTTAGTGATAAATATTCACTAATGTAGGTGTGCACAACCTTTTTGAGTATAGGGCCACTTGCACAGCAGGTTGACTAACGAAGGGCCGCATGTGTATTTGGGCATGCTGAGGACAAATGTAGTACTACAGTAGGGAACCGATTATCCGGAACGATCGGGACAATCGCTATTCCGGATAACTGATTTTTCCGGTTTTCTGAATAGCTACAAAAAGCCGTTTTTTTATTGTTAACCCAACTAAAAATAAAAAAAATATTCGGAAATAATCTTGAAAAGAAGAAAAAACGATGAAGTAATACACTGATGATTATTTCCAAAATGATGGCAAGGTAAACATCTTTCAAAAAAGAGAGAAAAATCCTAAAATCTTATGAGGAAAAAAAACATTTTTTTAAAAAAATGGTGGGAAAATGTACCGAATTTCGTTCCGGTTTTTTGGTTTTCCGGTTTTCTGATTTCCGGATAACAGGTTCTGTACTGTATTTATTTTAACATTAGTGCTCTAATTTATAAAGTTAGTAATATATTTGTAGAAAATTCAATGCTTTCAATTATTAGAATTCATTCAAAAATAGATTTATCATAATAAATAAACATTGGAGAAACGAATATTTATATTTAACAAAGATCACTTAAGCAACTAAAAATTGTAGTCAAAATTACAGTAAGCAGTTTAAAAATTTTTAATAAAATAAATTTTTGGATTAAGCCGTTTAATTTTTATGGACATAACTTTTCTGGACTCACTAAAATAGATGTTAATTCTTAAGGTGAAAAAAAAAAAGAGCACTGTTTGAATTTTTGTTAAAAGATTGTTGATTAAAAATTGTTAAAATTTTTCTGTGCTTTTTAAATTTATTTTTAGGAAGCCTGTTGGACTGTTTCTAATATCACTGCAGGTACGCCTACTCAAATCCAAGCTGTTATTGATAATGGACTTATGGGTCTTGTCATTGATGTTCTTAATGAGGTATGTCATTCTGAAGCTTTAATTAAAAAATCCTATTTATTAATTTTAAAAAAATTCCCTTCATGCATACTAATAATGGCTGTTCCTTAATGGCTTAGGGAAAAGGGTTTAAGAAGTAAAACAAAAGATTAAATGATTAATTTAGAATGAACCATTAAGAAATAATTTAGAATAAACAATCACAAAATACTAGAATTACAATATCCTGTAAACGGATACGTATCATCTTATTAAGAAACATGGCCAAAAGTATGTTAAAAAGATTGCGTTGTCGCAATAAACCTAAACTAGTAATTAACCCGAAAGAAAAATAAATAGCTAAAAAGGAATGGATTGCTTTGAGTTAAAAAGTACATGAGACAGATAAAACAAATACTGAAATGTTAAAACTCACCATGTTTATTCTCACTAAATTATTAAAAAAATTGCTAATTATAATATCATCAACAAAAATATCGCCACACAGGCCATCACTTGTAGATTCAAATTTACACAAATAAAGATGAAAAAGGATTATCTTCTCACAAAAATAGTTGTCGGCATCTTAAATCTCTTACAACAGGACTGCACGCCTCCCTGATGCACCGAACGTATATCAGGAGGCCCAAAATCAACTTCGAATGAGTGTTCTAAAAACAGGGGGAAAGAAAAAGAATTCCTCACTCCCACGCTGCCATTACTTTTTGTTGAATACTGTTGCACTTCGGGAACTCAGCTGACAGGTGTCGCTGTTCAGCCTAATCCCATGACGCCTCAAAAGCTGCTCCTCGAGATAATCTGCTCCTATAGGATCAGTCCATGCAATTTCTTCCTTGTTACAAAGCAATACTTCAAGTCTTATATTTTTGCAACGTATGTCTTTTCTTAAAGACATTAAAATTGTTAAACAGTGTTTAACACATACATTAAATTTTTATGCAATAAATATCAAATTCCTTTTATTTATTTTTAATAACTGCTGCTAGCAAGTGACTTTAGTCAGTGCCGTTATTGACGCCTGCAATCATTTTGTTGGAAATATTTTTTATAGTCTTTTAATTTACAACTTTTGTAGTTCTTGGGAATAAAATTTTAGTTTTGTTCTTTGATCATTTCATAAAGTTACATTAAAAAATAAATTAAAATTTGTATCAGCTCAATATGCTACTCTTATACTTTTACATTGCTATTGAATCAGGGTGCGTAGCATTTTAAAAAGTTCTTAAATGTGCTTATTTTCGTTTTTTAAAACCCCTTAAAGGTGCTTTTTTCCTTTTGTGTTTTAATAGTGCTTAATTTTCCCTTTTTCAAAATGAGATTTTTCTTTTACTATGTTGATTTTCGCTTCGAATTATGCTGAAAGACACCGTTAACATTGTTCTATTCAACGTTTTCACAATTAACTCAATCCCAATATATTTCGACGTATTGTCAGTCTGTAGCATATGAAAAAGTCAGTTTTGCATGATTTTTGACAGTTGTCAAAAACAATGCCAAAAGGTTTTTTTTTTTCTTTTTTTTTTCATATGACGGTTAAAACAAGATAAAACAGTTAATTGTCAAAAACTTTCCAACTCTGCCTAATTATATTTTTTTTGAAATGCTTAAAAAGGGCTTTTTTTGAAATTAATAATTTGGCTGCCCGCACTGTGAATGCAATGCGAATATTTACAAAGCAAACATTACACCCAATAATGTGCATCAGTAGTTTGCAGAGATGTGTAGGTGTACTAGGCGAAATTCCTGTAAAGTGCAATAATGTAATCTTTGAGAAAGGTGCCCCCCCCCCCAAAAAAAAAATTTTTTTTTTCAAATTTCAACTGAAAACGTTGATTGGAACATTTAATATTCATAATAGTTTAAATCCGTATTTTAGTCTTATTTTATGGTACCTAGTTGCTTAAAATTATCAAAATTATGTCAATGTAAGATATTTTCAATGTATTTATCAATGTATATTATCAATGTAAGATATTTTAGATTTGAAGAAAATAAATATTTAATTACATAAAACTTGATTTGATTAATTGGTTAGAAAATTGTATTTTATATTTCATAAATAACTGCTCGAGCAAAGTATTTATCAAATGAGAAATTTCTGATACAACAAATATAGTAACAGTCTTATACAAATATATTAATAGTCTGGTAACAGATTTAAAGGCTTTACAGTGTTTTATTACGCCCTTAGGTTGCCCCTATTGACTAGTTACGGCGATGTTCCCCTTTCGTCTCTATGCACAACGCTGATGTGTATTAATGCATTTTACAAATCTTATTACAGCTTTAATTTCTTACCATTATATTGTTAAATGTTCGCTTTATAATGTTAATTTATTTACCTTTCAATAATGTTTTAAAGGTTTTATTCTTTTCTTACTTTTTAGGGTGATTATAAAAGCCAAAAGGAAGCCATCTGGGCTGTTTGTAATTTCACATCAGGTGGTACAATAGAACAGATTATATTTTTGGTCAGAGCTGGTGTCATCCCACCTGTTTGTAACCTTCTTGCTGTTAAGGATTCAAAAATTCTAACTGTAGCTTTGGATGCCATAGCTAATATTCTAAATGTATGAAATATTTAGTTTATTTTAATTCTTTACTTATTTTCGTTTTCAGTACCAACAACAAAACAAGTGTCTGTTACAAATCTGTGTTTTTAATTTAAAGTTCTCAAATGCATTGTTTAAAATGAAAAATTAAGTTTTAAGCATTGTGATTAGTTATTTTATGTAAAATAAATATTGCAATCCTAACTTAAAACAATTTAAACAGTGAATGATTATTTAAATTGTGATGGTTTGGATTATCATAATGAGATAGCACAAAAGTGTTGGAAGAAAAGTTCTTAAAACCTCATTTTGACAAGGAATTTTTTTTGTCTTATCAAAATAATCTGGAGACAAGATTTTTTTGCGTTTGTTTGTGCCTGTCCAGATTAAGGTTAAAAAAAATATTTCAATTTATTGTTTATCATATTACCACTCTGCTAATTTTGTTGAGGTGGGGTTTTGTTTATAGGTCAGTATCGCAATCTGATCGTTGTGCTAATGTTCTACAGGATCATTGACTAATTAAGATTTCTGTGTGGTATGACCACAGAGCTTTGTATCTTTGAAAAATTTTGTCTCTTATTTATTAATTTGTTTTAATAAGGGGAAGATTTATTAGTTCTAAAATCACTAAGTTTGTAGCTATTACAAGTTCTTTTGAATGTTTATTTTACTTGATTTGTGGTTTTATGGGTCCTACTCTTTTAATAAAAAGTAAACACTTATCTAATAGTCTATAATTTTGTAAGCAAATTTTATATGACAATTCTTATAAACAGTGAATTATCAAAGTGGCGAATTGAAAGACAGTACTTATGTTTATTTTTTTTTGAAAATATTATTTGGCTGCAATGCTAATCGCTCCGTCCCCAAAAGTTGTTACTGAAATCAGGAGTGACTCTTTTTGTTTAATATTGCTTCTTCCTGTTTTATAAAAGATAAGTTATTCTAAATTTTTTATACTTACGTAAGTGTGATTCTTAATTGAGTCTTTAAAACCACACTGTGATGTCCATATTCACGCGATTGATATAGCTATTCTTATTCAAAGGAATGAAAATCACACATTTAGATGAGCATTTACACAATTTATGAAGAATTTACGCATCAGCATTTGTTATTAAGATATTGATAATATTCTTAGGATAAATTTTCTTTTTCCACCTGAAATTTCTGGTATTTTTTCAATTATTGAAAATGTATTTTAAAAATTTTGATTTCTTTTTTCTGCTTTCTTCTATTTATGTGACTCTCTTTTGAAATATTTTTTCAGTAATCTTGATGTATGTTTGATTTCATGTAAGATCAATTATTCAAAAATTAATTATTAAGAATGATTCATTAAACTAACTATTTAGTATCTACTGAGCATTTAGTATCTGAATCAATGTTTTTTTGCATGAATTTCTAAAAAGACATTTTAAGTTCTGTTTGATTTTTCTCTATTGATTGGGGAAAATAAGCTATTACTCCACTAATTTAAGAAATTTAAATCGTGATTATTATCACATTTTCTTATTTTAATTGGGTATTAGAATTTTGAGTCCCAGTTTGTATAAAGAAATAAAATCTGAAATCTTTTGAAACATGTAAACTTAAGGATTGATGAATCTTTGGTAAAAGTTTACAAAATTCAGTTATATTGTTTCTGTATCATGTATGGTCGCTGTGTTTTTTCCCCCTCTTTCAAATCATTAGAATAGTTTTGCTGTTACGCTAGTATAATCATTGTGAGGCATTTGATCAGAAGAGTTCTAGTGTTTTAATATCATATCCTAATTTATGAATAATTTTTTTTAAAAAAATTTTATCAATTCCATCTTAATATCAGAAAATAGATTTAAAAATATTCTACGTACTATTTTGAACTTCGTAAAAGTCTTTTTTGAGGATTAATTTTATTCCCTTTTTTAGAATATTATATCTAGTCTGCTTTGTAAAAATTTTATTACCTATACTTGCCAATAAGTTTTTACAATATATTCACATTTTTAGTATATTTTAAATAAATACTTTAAAAAATTTCTAAACATTTTTCTTTTTAAACAGGCTGCTACCAAAGTAGGTGCAACAGAAAGTGTCTGCTGCTTTATTGAACAATGTGGTGGATTGGACAGGATTGAAAATTTACAACACCATGAGAACCCAGAAGTGTATAAATCAGCATTTACGATCATAGACTCTTACTTTACAGGAGAGGTAAAACTTTGAAACTTCATTATGTAGTCATAAATGGGTGGCCTAAAATCCACGCGAGATTTAAATTAAATACATTTTTTTTTCTTTCAATTATGTTGATTTGTTTTGTTGTAACATTAAGTACATTGAGTAAGGGTATGCATGAAATAGCACATAGGGCTAATGATTCCATGGTTTTGCTGACACATGCTCTTTAATCAAACTTTTCAATAAACATATTAAATTCTAAAATTGTCAGAAAAAAATTAAATTAAAATTGTTAAATGAAAAATATATTAAAGAATTTCGTTTGCACTCTTTGGGACACTGTGGGAATAGCTTAAACACATATATAGGTAAGAAAATGTTTCTTTTAACATACAGCCATTTTATTGCCATAGCGTGGAAGAAAATTTTCGTCACATTCTCTTTATCCTTCGTTACTAATTTTAAAAAGAAAGAAAAAGTAAATCCAGACATACTTAGAGTAAGTCATAAAGTTTCAGTTTCTGAAAAAAATACTTTAAAATATTAAAATGCATAGAAATTATTAGAAGAGAACTTTACCGTTCCGAAATCCTAAATTGTCTTCTCATAATTTGTTTTTGTTTTTATACTTTAAAATTTTCTTTTCAGTATTTGGAACTTCATGGCTTACTCTAGGTTTGTCTGAACTCACTTTTTCTGCACTTTAAATTTTGAATTAGTAATGAAGGAAGAAGAGAATTTGCGAGGAAATTTTTTTTCCTCGGTATGGTGTCCTCTGAAGTTCCTAATGAGACTTACTGTTTTCAGAGAACTCCAAAAGCTGACATAAATTTTTAAAATTTATCATAACATGTTTTTGAAACCAACGAATTCCAGACACTAATTTACTTGTCTAAATATTGAAACAATAGAAAAAGATTTTTTTTTTTTTTTTTTTTTAAAATGGGTCAATGGTTGCATTTTTTGTCTAAATTAATATCTTAAAGAATTTTTAATTCAAAATTTTTTTTCTTTAAATCACTTCGTATTAGTCAGTTATTATTCGTGTCACAAGTTAGTAAACAGTTGTATTTTCAATGCTTGAAACTCATTATTTTTAAACTATTACTTCTATAAGCTTGGTTTTCTTCCCTTTAATTCAACGTAAAAAAATACATAGAAATCTTCTTTAGTTTAATAATTTCAGACGTGAAAATTGATATAAACAAATATCGAATCCCTTTGATTTTCTGACTTGATTTTTGGTGCATTTACATTCAGTTTGAAGAGAAACTCTAGTCTATTTAGTTAAAGACTTTTTCCCTTTGTGATCCCTTAATTCCAGCTGTCCACATTGGACTCAAATCACAATTTTTAAAATCATTTCTAGCCATCTAATAATTATTTTTGTATTTAGTTACTTTGGAACTGGTCTATTATACTTTTATTTTTAAATAAAAATTTCAAGATTTTATTTTCCTCATTTTTAGGAATCTTAATATTTTTTTGTTTTAGATTTTCAATAAAATTTGTCGAAAAAAAAAAATGTGAATTATATAATTTAAAAAAAATATTTTTTTTTTGGTTAAAAGTTTTGTTCGCTATTCAGGCTCACCCATATATTGAGTGAAACAAACTGTTGTCTAAATGTTTGAATAGTTTTTATTGAGTTGAATATTTTTGTTTTCAGGAGGAAGAAGATGAAGATATTAAACCAGAAGTAGATGAAACCGGTGCTTATGAGTTTAGTGGTCCCAATGCTGCACCCAATGGAGGATTTTCATTTTAATAATTAGTTTTCATATAAAAAGGTTTTTAAAATGTGATTTCAGATTAGAGTCTAGCCTTTGCCTGTTGTACAGCTCACATCATTCCTTAAATGAACTGTTTTATAATTGTATCAAATGAATCTCTAAAATGGAGCCGCCATCTGCTGGGCAGAATTGAATTTTTTTTTCTCTTGAAAATTATACGAGCTGACATTAAAGACTGACTGCTGTTATGTATATACGTAAATATATATAAGTCAACGGTTTTGTTATTTAAGTGAATTCACTGACAGTCTGAAAAAATTAATTTTATATTTGTTTGATTGGCTTAAACTACGTGTTTGATACTTATATTTATGAATTTGCTTAAAGCTTATAATTCTGCTTCTGTATTCTTTTTTAAAATTGTGTTTATATTGTGATAGCTTAGGCCCTCTAATTTTTTTTTCTTCATGTGAACTAAGACTGTTTCCTTATGTTATGATATAAGGCATTCTTTGAAAAGCATTTCTGAAAGCAGCTTGATTGGAATCTTCTAACATTTAATAAGTTTTTAAATTTTAATAACATGAAGTTGGTTACTGTATTGTGATATTTAACTCTTTGAGTTTTAGTTCGAATTCAAATGTAAAAATTTTGCCAATAATAAAAACTTAAATTTTTCCCATCTGTTTCGTTTTTTGTTATTCTTAAGTAGAGTTTTATCATAAGAACTTACCTTAACCCTAGGTTCATAAATATGTGATGGTGTAAGCTATTCAAAAACATTTGTCCAACAATCTAGGAAGGTACTTAAAAGTTTATCTCGCTACCTCGTTCATTTAAAAGGTTGCAATGTTTATGTATTTTTTGCAGTTGGTGAGAAGAATTTGTATGAGCCTAGGATTAAGGTTATTGAGCAAGAAATATTTTTTCCTTAGAGATCCTGTATCTTATGTAGCTGAAATATTAATGGCAGTTTTTTTTAATTGTGCTGTTCAGGATTAAAGGAAAATAATCAGTTATCATACTACCTGGCAAAGTTTCCCATAAAATTTGCTATCTAATCTAGCTTCAAAATCATGATAAATGTAAGACACTTTTCCAACAGGCAGCAGTTGAGTGTGTGTGACCACTTTATTTAGCCTGCAACGGAACAGGGGGTGCATAATATTAGTCTCCTTTAAGCTGTTCTACTGTTAAATGCTCTACTACATGATCAGGTCATCTTGCTACCTAGGCTGGGGAGTCATCCTCTCTTCAGAGGACCATGTCTTCAGTTCATTCTCAAGGCATGCTTCACTGACTTTTGACAATAGCCTGTTGTGCAGCTCTAGTGCTTAGTAAATATGGTACTACCAGAGTTCCCCCCAGGATTAAAATAAGACAGACTTTTTCCTCACAGAAAAGTGTGTATTTAGTTTGGATAAGGCACTCACCATTAAAATTTATCAAAATGTATATTATATAATAACTAAGTGGGATCCTCAATTTTTAATTAACCCTCTTTTACTATTTTAAGTGTTTATTTCACTAAGTAGTTGTCGCTCATTATCAAAATAATTAAAGGCAAGTTAAAGGACAATGTAAAAATTTTCTTCAAAAAAAGGTAAATTAAAAAATATATAAGTAATAAACAACGTAATAGATCTTTTTGTTTAAGTTTTCATACTTTAAATTTTTAGAAATAAACATTTAAAGGTGCATTTTTAAGTAAAAAGGTATTTATGTAAAAATGGTAAAATTTAATATCACTAATGAAATTTTTACCAGTTTAGAGGGATGAGATTTTTCCGCTTTTTAGCGGATTTCCGCTTTTTTCACTTTATCTCTTAAATTTCAGCTTTTTTTTTTTTATTTATCATAAATTCAGA